GAGAGAGAGAGAGAGAGAGAGAGAGAGAGAGAGAGAGAAGAGAAAGAAAAAGAAGTAGAAAAACACCGCCGTTACTCGAATTTCTCAAACAAAACACTCACTCTCTCCGTCAATCCAATGAATAGCAAATGAGAGAATAAAAAATGGTTGTGTGCGTTTTTTTTCGGCATGCTCTCGCTTTCAATTTTATATACGTACATACATACATGCGGCACAAAGCACATTTTCCACAAACGAAGTGCATGTACAAAAAATGAAGAGAGAGAGAGAGAGAGAGAGAGAGAGAGAGAGAGAGGAAAAAAAACACACAAACCGTTCGTGAAGAACGGTTTTCATAGCACATTATGTGCTATGTGTGATATACGACGATGACGACGGTGACGGCGACGTCGACGGCAACGGCAACGGCAACGACAACGGAGAATCGGCAAAAATTCCAGCACAAATCAATAATTAAAGCGTCGAATGCAAATGCCGGCTTGCAGATCGATGTGGCATTTTCAATTCTCGGATGTCACATAACGAAACATTTGTTGTGTTGAAGAAAACGTAATAGCGTTACCGCGCTGCCACAGCTGCTGCTGCTGCTATTTTACTTTAAATTCGGTTTGGTAGACGCGAACAACACATAAGGAACTAAGAATATGATATCGTTTTATCGATAGTAAAAGTGATTTCACTCCCGTTTCCTCCATTCGGTCTGTACAATTTCCGAATTCTTTGTCGTGTTTCCGTATTTGATTCATTCGCTAAACAAGTGCGGCTCGAATTTCGTTCGTTTCGTACGTGTGTGTGTGTGTTCTTTTCCGCTGCTTTTTCTGGAAATACCGAATTTACGTCGCTGTTTCAAACGTGCTGTGTGCGGATATTTCAATGTGATTTATTTTTTCATATAAATTTTCTGGCATAATTTTGAATAGGTGCGATGTCAACGACAACATGTAATGTGCGTGGCAAACAATCAGATGGATTGATACAAAAAGTTGGACCAATGAAAGCCACCATTCCAATGTCGTTGCTGCGGCCGCTGAACAGTGCCGGCGGCCTCACAGCAACCAATTCAAATCGGCTTTTTTGTTCAATGTCACCGCCGATGCGCCTCATTTCACCCGATCACAACAGTTCGGGACATCGCAGCCCCGGTGCCAATAATTATTACAAAGGTACATCATTTTATTTTCATTCACTCTCCCTTTCTCGCTTTTTTTCTTGGCTTTTGTTCGAAATTGAATTGTGGCTTCTCTGGTGGTTGTGATTTTTTTTTTGCTGCTGCTCATTGTCGAAGCTTCGAGTTTGACGCATTTTTACGAGCTCCAATGATGAAAGCAATTTTGAGCCCCTTCATTTTCGTTTTCAATTCAAACATTTCATTTGTATATATTTTTCCTCCCTCTTTTCTACGCCGTCGCTTTTACATTTTTTAAAACTAAACCTTTTCATTTTCATTCTGGCTTGCAGGCAAGACCCATTTGTTAGACAGCGCCACTTTATCATCATGCATACGACGTACTTTGTCATTGGATGCGCTTGTTCCAGCCAAATCAACCGATGTCGCTAATAAAACGGTACCTTTTACGTTGAATATAGTCTATTGATTGCGCTAATCTATATATATAAAACTCATTGTGTGTGTATGTGTGCGTTTGTCCTTTTTTTTTAATTCTTGGTTTTAATGGTGAATATGTCGTTGGAATTCTCGCGGCAGAAATTCTGCACTGATTCAGTAGACATGCAATGGTTACTAGATGACAAATTTATAATACACTCGAGTGCGTGTATTTGCGCGTACATTTCCGGTAGCCGTTTGAGCGTTCGCATAACAAATAACTCATTTTTGTATATTTTCGAGATAATTTCGCCCAAAAATAGTTGAAATCGTTATATGTCTACTCGATTCACAACTACTGGAAAAATCCGTAGATGGAGTTAGACGCCCGTACCAAATATAATGTATTGAAACTCCATATACATGGTAGGAGTATGGGAACGGGGATGAACATGGACACCATCTCGGTCCATCATGGTCATCTTAACACGACTTAACACCAATTTATGGTCATGTTAACACGACTTAACACTATGAATAGTCAATATGGGTATCATATGAAAGGTTTTGGAAAGAGATGAACATGGACGCCATCTCGGTCCATCATGGTCATGTTAACACGACTAGGAAGCTAGTCAATTATGAATTATATCACATTTCTTCATTAAGTGATTTTTTCTCATTTTTTTTTGTTTTAATTATCGGTTTCATTCCGCTTGGTGTTTTTTTTGTTAATCACATGCGACAGTTTGGTTCTATTAATCTTGAAATTGTACCAAAACAATAATTCCTAAATGTTCATTTATTATTCATTTTAAAGCCATGAAAATTTCTTCACAACCATTCTCTCGCCTTTATCGATAATAACGTTATAATCGAAATGAGCATAAATATTAATTACTAATCCAACACGTTTTGTTTCTCTCTCTCTCTCTCTCTCGCTCAATTCAAACAGCACCGAGTAGCCGCTTATACAATTTTGCAGTTAGACAAGGCGACGCAAACGGATGAATCATGCATTTTCGGCATCGACACATCTATGGACGCATTGAATGATTCGGCATGGAATAAATCGGAAAAAGTCTTGAGACAACGACTGCAACGGGTCCAACAACGAACCGGAGAACACTCTGTTAGTTCACAAACATTAAGCCCAATTCAGAGTAAGTGACCGTTGTTGACAATCGCTCGAAAAAATTCCTTACTTTTTTTCTCATTTATTATTCATTCATGTGTGGATTTTCATTAATTTTCAAATCTGACGATTTTACGAATTGGAGGTATTTTCTATGTTAATTTTTTTTTTCAAGATTAATTTGTAATTTTCTATTGAAAAATCGAAATAAATTGAGATTATTTGCTTATAAAACTTTCTTATAAATTATAATCATTTACTATGCTTTTCCTTTCCATTCTTTGTGTAAACGTGATTTTCCCTCCTTTCCGTTTGTTTTCCTTTCCTCGACGACCATTTGTTTTTTTGTTTTTTAATCGAAACACTAATGGAATAATGTTTGTAATTGCAGCAAGTCCAGTATCGATACCACCGAGATCATGTGCGACCCATCGTCCAATGCGCAGTTCTGTAGAAGGCTTGAATCAAGAGATTGAGAAACTTGTTTTAGTACCTGGTCAACCGCACTCATGTCGACCAGAATCTAGCCATGTAAATCCTTTAACCCATCATATATTGCCCATCAATTGTTCCAAATAACGAATGATTTGATCAATATTTTAAGTTTACTCGAGGAATACCGGAAGGTCATCGGGCGCCATTAGCTGATATTTTGCACAGTGATACTCGATCGGTTAATACTCAAACGCCAAACAGGGATTTATTATCATCGGGTATGGAATTTATCCAGTACTTTAGACCATTCTTTCATTCTAAATTCCAATAAATAAATGATGGGTATTTGCATGCACATACAGATGAGAGCCAGAGCACATCACCAGATGAAAATGTTTCATCGGAGGCTTCACCACGTATAAATCGATTTTTAGCCCGTCTACCACCAGATGGATGTGAGAAGGTAAAAACATTGATTACTTTTACGATTTCATCAGACCTTTTCTCATTATTTTTTTTTCTAAATAATTTGATAAATTGAATTTTTGCATTTCTTTTCGTCGAAAAGTTCAATTTTGTTCTGTGAAAAATTCCATACTAAATGCGTGTTAAATTTCTCCACCAGGTGTGTTTGAAGTCAAGTGATACGGATCATTTGTCACCATCGTCAGCCATATTCAAGCCGCCCGTTGGTTTCAAATTGAGACCATCGTTGGGTTCGGCATTTCAGCCGTTACAACCCATATTTGCCGGTGCTGTTTCGTCCGCCATTGATGACAATGTTGTTGCCGATAAATCAAGTACAACTCCAAATTAAGTGTTAGTCAGCGCCATCATCCAGCGGCCATTTGACGCCGGCCGGAAAATCAATGGTCAAAATGAATATAATAACAACAAACAAAAACAAATGTGTAAAATTCAAACAAGTTCATTTCCAAAATGTGTAGTTTTAGAAAAAGATCCATGGAGTGCAACAAATGCAATTTTTTGTTGAACGAAAGCAAACATTTTCATATAAAACTGAAACGCCATTATATTATTATTTTAAACTGTTCTTTGTTTTAAAGAAGTGTGCACCTGAGAGAGACAGAGAGAGAGAGAGAGTTGAGATTAATGAGATAGAGTCGATAGCGAGAAAGGTCTCGATTAGAATGAGCATAGCGCAATGAACAATTCATTGAGAAGTCATGTAAAAGTCTGATGGCAATTTATGCGCCAAGCTTTTTTTCTTTCGTTTTTAAATAGAGAAGAAAAGGAGCAAGGAATTCAAACAAATTCAATTTTTCCCTAACAAAGTGAATTGATGAGAAGATGAAAAAAAACAGGAATGACAAAAACTCTATTTTGTATCTTACACATTTTTGTCGGACACAATGAAACCGTTACATTAATTCTATTCAAATAAGATGCTTGATATTTAAAACACACACACACACACACACACAAACAAAATCAGTTCAAAGAAAGAAGAAGAAGAAAAATGCATATTTTAAGAGACAAATAAAAAAAATAAAAAAAAAAGATCAATTAAACTACCACATTCGACACACTTTTTACGTAGCAATTTATGAAAATTCATAATCATTCTCTAAATTTGTTTCAAATGAGGTTTTTTAAAATGAAATGGAGAGGGTCGGGTGCTCTCTCATATTATTATTTAGAGACTAGTGTATTTACACTGTCCATGTCAAATGCAATGGGACCGCAATGAAATACCCTTTTCCGTTCCATTCATTTTATTTTTTCGTTGTTGTTTCTCAGTAGTCAAATTAGTCTCTGATATTTAAAACAAAAAACTATTTTGTAGAACAAAGAAAACAACATCATTTCAAAACTTAGACAATATGACCTGAAACAGCCAGAGTTTAAGCATTTGTATAAATGGTATTTTTGTAAAGGCACACGAAAAGAGTATTATAAAATGCAATCAAAATTCCGAGAAAACTTCATATGATTTTCCGAATATTTTGTTTTTTCGAAAAAGAAATATTTTAAATAGTATTACCCAAGCGTTTGTTCAGTCGTCAAAGATGATCAGTTCCAATTTTCGTTCCATAATATTATATTTCGTTCTCGTATACCGTAATTGTGTGTCTTCTGTTTGCCAAATTTCACGATGTAATCGTAAACTGCTCGACGATGTAATGTTTCATTTAAAAAGAATCCTCTTTAGTTGAGGCGAACGAATTTCAGTCATTTTGATCGAATTCTATTGCCCATCGAGTGGGCATTCGTCGCGTCGAAAATGGGCATTATTATACAGGTGTTCAAAATATCTATTTATTTGTTTTTCTTCATTCGGATTTACTAAGAATCAAGACAAACCGGTCGAACCATCTGAAAATCAAAGTGTGACCGTTTTCGCGATCGGACAACATTGGTTGCACATATTTTTAGTGAAAATAGCAACAGCAAAATAGCATTTTGAGCCGTGTACAGTGATATAAGTAAGGATCTATTGAGAAAAAAAAATTATTAAAGGGACATCAAAGTGAAACGTTGATGCCAAAACGTTGGAAAATATTTCGGCTTTAAACAAAGAAACAAGAAAATCCCACAAAAGAAATTAAAAATATACACACAAAAAGCATGGAAAGAAACAAGTCACAGAAAAAAAAAAAAAAACACATGAATTTAAAAAAAATGAAAAAAAAATGGATATTCAAATACGAATACGGTGAAGAATAAAAAAACAACTAATCAAGAATATGAAAAAAAAGAACAAGAAAAAAATATATTTTTATTTTTTTATGAATGAAATATTTTTAAGCTAAGCAAATTAAATAAGTAGGAGTGGGCATTGGTCGGGATCAATGTATCGGATCGAAAGCGAATGGATGGAGACTTAACTGTTCTCTTTTTTTACATAGCCAGAAATGAAAAATGAGGTACGATAATCGAATAGTCAGTCGCGTATGGGTTATCCAAAAAATATTGAAAATAAAAAACGATCTTAAAGTGAGGATCGTTTTTCCGAGGGAAACCAAAATTTTATTTCTCAACAATACGAATATGGAAAAATTGCCGTGAAATTGTGTCGCAGTGTCAAACCGACAGAAATAAAAATTGATGAAACCAATATTTTTACTAGCAAAAGAGAGAATTCGGAAAAATTCGATGATATTTATTTTGAAAATTGCATGTGAACCAAAAAAGCATCAACCGGCGATGAATTGAATTTTTCTTTTTCGGAATGATTGGAATGGCGTTAAACGAATGAATCGCAGAAGAAATTCAGATGAACAAAAAGGAAATATTTCGCAAGAAAATCGGATGATAAGGAAAAAAACCTTCGCAAGAATGAAAGAATACGCGAGAAAAAAAGAACAAAAAAAAAATTGTGAAAATTCGGCTGTTAAAAAAAAATCTTTACAAATTTTATAAAAATGACATGAAGAGTAACCAAACACAAACAAAGAATGTTAAAAAAATTCGCATTTATTTTGGAATAAATTATTTTTAGACAACAGTCGACGCACACCATGCAATTTAAATTATGCCAAAAAAAGAAAAATTGAACAAAAAAAAACCACGAAAACAGAATGGAACTTTGTGTGTGAATCTGTGAATCGGTTATGTTGAGACGAATGTGCGAATCCAATTTAATACACACACAAGCATACAATATGAGATGTGCAATCAAGCGCCTGGCAACACACGGAGAGAGATAAGAAAAAACTGATTTTTCATCTAAATGAAATTTGCATTGTGAACACACGAACACACACACTCACACTTACACAAATAAACACGTTCAGCGAGCAATTAAACCGAATAAAAATGAAAAAATTTCGCAAACAAAAGAAAGGAACAAAAGAAATGAAATCAGACAAAATGTAAGCAAACAAACAAAATTCTGCACAAGTTTTGAATTTATCTATTTAGCCTTTGTTGTAACTTGAAAGTGATAACTGCTCGATTAACGTTATGTGTATGAGACAAACAAATATATCGTGAATACACAAGAAATGAAGAGAAAAATAAAAAGAAAAAAAATTAAAACAAAGTTACAAGTTATAGATTATTTATATAAAAAAAAACGGATCAAGTGAGAGAGACAGAGAATATGTGTGTGAAAGATAGCGAAGGTGGGTGGAAGTAAAAGGGAGGAGGAATTAATTTGTCATATCGCTAGAATGCGATGATACACACACACACAAACTCACAAACGCTCACGAGGAAGATATCAGTCGATAGGTTGGCGCTGCAGACATTCACAGATGAGGGCAGTCAATTTCAAGAAGATGAATAGAAACACAAACAATAACATACATAATCAATAAATTATTATTTCCTTTCATGGTTCACAATCGACAAAACCTACACTACCGTGCAAAAGTTTGGAACCACTAGGTATTTTTCATACAAATTGACCATTTTTGGTGGACTCATTAACATATTTCGGAAACACCTGCACTCTTGATATTTTGTGCATAGTTTCTACAACGTTTCAATAGTAAATCACAGAGGTTTCATCAAAAAATATTCACGTATTTAAAAAATATATCAATTTGAATTTGATCTGTTTTAATCTTCATACAAATTTGATCATTTTTCACACAGTACAAATTCAAATTGCTATATTTTTGAAATTCATGAATATTTTTTGATGAAACCTCTGTGATTTACTATCGAAACGTTGTAGAAACTATGGACAAAATATCAAGAGTGCAGGTGTTTCCGAAATATGTTAATGAGTCCACCAAAAATGGTCAATTTGTATGAAAAATACCTAGTGGTCCCAAACTTTTGCACGGTAGTGTACATAATTGCAAGAGCATTTCTTTTTCTTTTTTTCAAACAAAATGCATCAACACAATTCATTTCCATGCAATTTACAATGTTTTGCATTGCAAACCATACATTATGCAAATCAATTACAATTAGCAATTTCAAACAATTACAGAACAGAATATTTTTCGGTTTTGGTCGTGTATATCAGCCTTAAAAACAACAACCATGTAATCCATACATAAACAGACATTTCCATAGAATCACTTTTTGTTTGCATGAGATTCATCATTGAATATGTTACACACGAAGAACGACAGACTACAATCAGAGGACAGACAGATGATATCCAACTTAAGCAAACAAATTAAATGGATATTTTATTAAACGTATTTACAAAAAAAAAAAAAAATACGCGATCGCTGTTTCATTTGATTTTATTTCTTCAACGTCTTTATTGCAGAATGTTTTAACAGATGCGGTGGTGGTTGCGTGAGTTGGTTTTTCATTTTAAAATTTATCTTCATAAGCTTTTTGTGCACTCAATCAATTGATGCTTCAAACTCCTAAGAAAATAATTGGATTGGATTTTAATTTATAATGGAAGCGCTATTTGGGTAAGCTAATTCTGACGGGGAAATCACTCTTTTCACTGAAAAGTAATAGTTAGAAAAAAAGTAATTTGAAAAGTAATTATTGACCAAAATTTACATCCAAAATGTCAAATATTACATCTTCAATTATTTTTACCGTTACATGAAACGTACATTGTACAATGTGCAATAAATGTAAAAGGTACTAACTTCGTTTATTTTTTTTTCTCCGTGGGGGTCCAAAACTTTGGATTTTTTCAATTTCAAAACAGATTCTGTTTTTATGTTTAATTATCATCTGTGAATAACTACAAATTTAGATTAAAGCATTATTACGAATACGATACTTAAAAATTCTCATTTCCATAGATTATGATGTACGACGTAGAGTGTTAGCTATTGTGGTAGCATTGAATTTAATACACAGGTTTAGCTGGTTTTTTTATTTTTGGTAGCCTGAACTTTATTCAGGCGTTTTTTTTTATTAACATATTAATAATTTAATAAAATGCGCTATATTTATTAACGTTAATAAATATGGTGTTTCAAAATTTTTATTAATTATTAAAATATGTTGTTTATTAACATATTAATAAAATACCGATTTTTGACAGCTGTAATTATTGTTCATGAGCTGTGTTAAATAAGTTGCAAATTCTTGCCTACATGGAACAATTCCCACATTTTTGATCATCAAATTTTATTGCATTCATATCACAAGAATGTCTATGATCATAAGCAATTAAGCAGTGCACAATGAAATTATAGTTGCATTAATATTCAGAACAGTTTTATCTACAAATCTTCAAGAAAGATTTCATGCAATCGAAGATAAATTTTCTATAAATTTACGTTGTTTCGCAGACTAAAATGAAGCGATATAGTTAGTGGTGAAATATTGACGCTTTGAATGCTATTTTCGAACTGGTTGGGGCAATCACAAAAGATCTCGGGTTCATTTCAACACTGTAATTGCTTTCGGTTGGTACAAATGAAGTTCAGTCAGTTTTTGTGCACGCTCCCAACCCAGTACATTATATTCAGCCCTTTTTTTTGTTAATATACCCTAGAATATTGCCATTAGAACCACTGAGAAGTGATCCGGATATTCAGTGTATTTCTAGGACCTTGAATAAAAATTGTCATTATTTCCAGAACAACTGTTTGTCAAAAATTGAATTTCAATTGAAAATCGATCTGAATGAAGTTGAAACGTCGTTTCTTCTTCAATTCAATTATTCTCTTTTCAGAAGAAATCAACAACAATAAAAATTTAATGCCACAGACTTGTTGAGTGACAACCGATTTGAATTAAACGTCCGAATTTTCAGTTTATTTGTGCCGATGATATTATCATAATTACAACGAATACGATGGCTGGCTGGCTATGTTTCATGTAAAGCGCTTCATCACAACTTCATGTAAACCGGTTTACAAAAATTCGCGAATATATTAAAACAATGTATCGGATTATCCAATTCTTCGTATGCAATTCCTGTGTTTGAAATTCGCCGTCATTCTAGGAACTTCAATCATATGTGTATCAAGGAAATAAAATTTTCGTCGGACGATTAAAAATTGGTGGCTGCCAGCAATGAACCATTCATATCCAATTTGCGAAACATTTTCAATTGTTTAAATATAGTATCAGTGCGTTTGATGAAGCGCTTTACATGAAACATAGCCAGCCAGCCAGCCAGCCATCGTATTCGTTGTAATTATGATAATATCATCGGCACAAATAAACTGAAAATTTGGACGTTCAATTCAAATCGGTTGTCACTCAACAAGTCTGTGGCATTAAGTTTTTATTGTTGTTGATTTCTTCTGAAAAAAGAATAATTGGATTGAAGAAGAAACGACATTTTGACTTTATTCAGATCGATTTTCAATTGAAATTCAATTTTTGACAAACAGTTGTTCTGGAAATAATGACAATTTTTATTCAAGGTCCTCGAAATACACTGAATATCCGGATCACTTCTCAGTGGTTCTAATGGCAATATTCTAGTGTGCATTAACAAAAAAGGGCTGAATATAATGTATTGGGTTGGGAGCGTGCACAAAAACCGAAATTCACGGATTTGCCGTACGAAAAATGAATTCAATAAGATTTCTCCGTGCAATCGAATGAATGAAATCGACAAAAGTAGACGACGAAACCAAAACGGACAAAAAAGTATGCGCTTGATTTTTACGTTCGATATGTTTTGATTTGTTTGGTGCGAGAACGTTTTGTGTGTATGTCTTGTATGATTTTCGATTTGTAAATAATCGTAGACGGCAAATGGCTTTGAATTTATATTGAACAAGTGTTACACGTAACTTTCGATGCTCCACTATGGATATGTATATTGTCGTTTGCACCGTAGTAATTCATTCGCTTGTCGATTTATGTAAGTTATAATTTATGAAATTAAATTCGACATCGATCTTCTTCTCGCTCCATGCATTTCATTTACATGAATAATATGATTAGATTGCCATGATTAAAAATGCACTCTGCTTCCGTCTTATCAAACGATATCGACTCAAAGAAGATCGCTTAATTGAACTAATTATTCCAGTTTTATCGTGAAAAGGAAGTTTTGAAAGACAAACATAACAGAAAAACTAAAACATTCATATCAATTCTTGGAGGAAAAAGATCTCATTCTCATGTGTTTTTTAACACATTTTATAACTCATGAGAAAAACATATCAGACACGTAATGATAATAATTCAAATATTCCCTCAAATAAAACAGGAGCTTCGTTTAAATAACGAAAATTCCATTTGAAATAAATTCTATTTTCTCATCATTTGCACGCAGATAATATTCGCGTTTTTTTTGCACCGCGTACTGCTTTTGATACTCGCGCATTCAGTTTCGCCGCCATTAATTTTTGGAATAGCGTTCCGGTCGAAATAAGAAATATAAAATCCTTAGAATCTTTTAAGAATGAGTTGAAGCACTTTTTACGAACCAATCAATAATACTTCCAAAATAATCTACATTTTGAATACTCGGTTTGACTGATATGCTTGATCTCATCAATCTACTAACACATAGTTTTAAGATCTATTTCCATTAATCC